GTTCAAAATCTTTGGAATGCAGCAAAGGCAGTCGTAAGAGGAAAGTATATAGCAATACAAGCCTTTCTCAAGAAACAAGAAAGGTCTCAAGTACAAAACCTAACCCTACACCTAAAGGAGCTGGAGAAAGAAGAGCAAATAAAGCCTAAACCCAGCAGAGAAGAGAAATCATAAAGATCAGAGCAGAAATCAATGAAATAGAAACTAAAAGAACAGTAGAACAGATCAACAAAACTAGGAGCTGGTTCGTTGAAAGAATTAACAAGATTGGTAAACCCCTGGCCAGACTTATCAAAAAGAGAAGAGAAATGACCCAAATCAACAAAATCATGACTGAAAGAGGAGAGATCACAACCAACACCAAAGAAATACAAACAATTATAAGAACATATTATGAGCAACTCTATGCCAGCAAATTCGATAGCCTGGAAGAAATGGATGCATTCCTAGAGATGTATCAACTACCAAAACTGAACCAGGAAGAAATAGAAAACCTGAACAGACCTATAACCACTAAGGAAATGGAAGCAGTCATCAAAAATCTCCCAACAAACAAAAGCCCAGGGCCAGATGGCTTCCCAGGGGAATTCTACCAAACATTCCAAGAAGAATTAATACCTATTCTTCTGAAAATGTTCCAAAAAATAGAAATGGAAGGAAAACTTCCAAACTCATTTTATGAGGCCACCATTACTTTGATCCCCAAACCAGACAAAGACCCCATCAAAAAAGAGAATTACAGACCAATATTCCTGATGAACATGGATGCAAAAATTCTCACCAAAATACTAGCCAATAGGATCCAACAGTACATTAAGAGGATTATTCACCACGACCAAGTGGGATTTATCCCTGGGCTGCAAGGTTGGTTCAACATCTGCAAATCAATCAACGTGATACAATACATTAACAAAAGAAAGAACAAGAATCATATGATCCTCTCAATAGATGCAGAAAAAACATTTGACAAAGTACAGCATCCTTTCTTGATCAAAACTCTTCAGAGTATAGGGAGAGAGGGTACCTACCTCAATATCATAAAAGCCATCTATGAAAAACCTACAGTGAATATCATTCTCAATGGGGAAAAACTGAGAGCTTTACCCCTAAGATCAGGAACGTGGCAGGGATGTCCACTATCACCACTGCTATTCAACATAGTATTGGAAGTCCTAGCCACAGCAATCAGACAACAAAAAGAAATCAAAGGCATCCAAATCGGCAAAGAAGAAGTTAAACTCTCACTCTTTGCAGATGATATGATACTTTATGTAGAAAACCCAAAAGACTCCACCCCAAAACTGCTAGAACTCATACAGGAATTCAGTAAAGTGGCAGGATATAAAATCAATGCACAGAAGTCAGTGACATTCCTATACACAAACAACAAGACAGAAGAGAGAAATTAAGGAGTCGATCCCATTTACAATTGCACCCAAAACCATAAGATACCTAGGAATAAATCTAACCAAAGAGGCAAAGGATCTGTACTCAGAAAACTATAAAATACTCATGAAAGAAATTGAGGAAGACACAAAGAAATGGAAAAATGTGCCATGCTCATGGATTGGAAGAACAAATATTGTGAAGATGTCAATGCTACCTAGAGCAATCTACACATTCAATGAAATGTCCATCAAAATACCATCCACTTTTTTCAAGAAATGGAACAAATAATCCTAAAATTCATATGGAACCAGAAAAGACCCCGCATAGCCAGAGGAATATTGAAAAAGAAAAGAAAAGCTGGTGGCATCACAATTCCTGACTTCAAGCTCTATTACAAAGCTGTCATCATCAAGACGGTATGGTACTGGCACAAAAACAGGCACATAGATCAATGGAACAGAATAGAGAGCCCAGAAATGGACCCTCAACTCTATGGTCAACTCATCTTTGACAAAGCAGGAAAGAATGTCCAATGGAAAAAAGACAATCTCTTCAACAAATGGTGTTGGGAAAATTGGACAGCCACATGCAGAAGAACGAAAGTGGATCATTTCCTTACACCACACACAAAAACAGACTCCAAATGGTTGAAAGACCTCAATGTGAGACAGGAGTCCATCAAAATCCTAAAGGAGAACACAGGCAGCAACCTCTTCGACCTCAGCCGCAGCAACTTCTTCCTAGAAACATCGCCAAAGGCAAGGGAAGCAAGGGCAAAAATGAACTATTGGGACTTCATCAAGATAAAAAGCTTTTGCAAAGCAAAGGAAACAGTCAACAAAACCAAAAGACCCCTGACAGAATGGGAGAAGATATTTGCAAATGACATATCAGATGAAGGGCTAGTGTCCAAAATCTATAAAGAACTCATCAAACTCAACACCCAAAGAACAAAGAATCCAATCAAGAAATGGGCAGAAGACATGAACAGACATTTTCCCAAAGAGGACATCCAAATGGCCAACAGACACATGAAAAAGTGGTCAATATCGCTCGGCATCAGGGAAATCCAAATCAAAACCTCAGAGAGATACCACCTCACACCAGTCAGAATGGCTAAAATTAACAAGTCAGGAACGGACAGATGTTGGCGGGGATGCGGAGAAAGGGGAACCCTCCTACACTGTTGGTGGGTATGCAAGCTGGTGCAACCACTCTGGAAAACAGTATGGAGGTTCCTCAAAAAGTTGAACATAGAGCTACCATATGATCCCGCAATTGCACTACTGGGTATTTACCCCAAAGATACAAAAGTAGGGATCTGAAAGGGTACGTGCACCCCGATGTTTATAGCAGCAATGTCCACAATAGCCAAACTGTGGAAAGAGCCAAGATGTCCATCAACAGATGAATGGATAAGAAGAAGTGGTATATATATACTATGGAATATTATGCAGCCACCAAAAGGAATGAGATCTTGCCATTTGCAACGATGTGGATGGAACTGGAGGGTATTATGTTGAGTGAAATAAGTCAAACAGAGAAAGACATGTATCATATGACCTCACTGATATGAGAAAATCTTAATCGCAGGAAACAAACTGAGGGTTGCTGGAGTGGGGGGTGGGGTGAGAGGGAGGGGGTGACTGGGTAATAGACACTGGGTAGGGTATGTGCTCTGGTAAGTGCTGTGAATTGTGCAAGACTGTTGAATCTCAGATCTGTACCTCTGAAGCAAATAATGCAATATATGTTAAGAAAAAAAAAAAAAAGGACGCCTGGGTGCCTCAGTTGGTTGAGCGACTGCCTTCGGCTCAGGTCATGATCCTGGAGTCCCAGGATCGGGTCCTGCATTGGGCACCCTGCTCGGCGGGGAGTCTGCTTCTCCCTCTGACCCTCCTCCCTCTCATGCTCTCTGTCTCTCATTCTCTCTCTCTCAAATAAATAAATAAAATCTTTAAAAAAAAAAGAAGAAGAAGAAGGTAGCAGGAGGGGAAGAATGAAGGGGGGAAATCGGAGCGGTAGACGAACCATGAGAGATGATGGACTTTGAAAAACAAACTGAGGGTTCTAGAGGGGAGGTGGGTGGGAGGATGGCTTAGCCTGGTGATGGGTATTGAGGAGGGCACATTCTGCATGGAGCACTGGATGTTATGCACAAACAATGAATCATGGAACACTACATCTAAAACTAATGATGTAATGTATGGGGATTAACATAAGAATAAAAAAAATAAAAAAAATAAAAATAAGAAAAAAACACTGCACTGAAAGCTCTGAAAAAAAAAAAAAAAGTACTCAATTCAAAAACTGCCTTACCCTCAGCAAGAACAACAGGGTCACCGAACACAAGACTGCCCCCACCCCACCCCTGGTGCAGTGATTCCAGAGGCCGAGAACCAGAGGTCTTGCTGTCACCAGAAGGGTAGACCCAATCTGGAACTCCACAGGGAGGGCCCGTGTCCAGGGAGTTTGTAGGAAACAATAGCAGTCAGTGGCAGAAATCAAAGGTCAACATGACCGCTGCCTACAGCTGCAATTCCAGTTGAGGCAAAGAATAGAGCCACTGAAGTTTCGTAGACGTCAGGGAAGTGAGTCAGCCATGGTGGACCTCGAGCTCTCACGTATTCCTAGAGATGTGGAAGGTTGCACACATACTAAGCAGAAAGTGAAGCGGGTCACAGTTCTCTGCTCTTCCCTGGCCAGACATGAAGCTTTTTGCAAACAAAGTAGAAGTCAGGGCAGATTTGTAAGCTGCTTGAATGGTAAATGTGCACTCCAATCCACACATGTTCCCTCAACAAAAGGTGTGAGCCTTACCCGTTTAAGGTGCTGCTAAAACACAAATTTAACCTAGTGAATCTGAAGATGTAATTGGCTTTATCAAATCATTCATGGACCGGGCAGCATCCCATATAGGAAGTAGAGGTGGGAGTGACTCTGAGGAAGGTGGGAAAGAGGAAGAAAGAGAAGAGGGGAGGGAGGGAGGGAGGGAGGGAGGGAGGGAGGAAAACAAGAAGGGAGGAGAGAAAAAGATCTTCTTGCAGTGACCACTTTGCAATGTAGACAATGATCTAAGATTTACATTGTACATCTGGAACTAATGTAATGTTATATACCAATTGTCATTTTGATGAAAAAACAAAGTGAGCAGGGCAAACTGCAGGGCAGCCAGAATCCACAGAATTAGTCCAGGCAGGTAATAAAACAAACAAAGCAACTTTATTCAAAGAGACTCTAACTAGAAACAAAACCAATAACCATCAAAGAGTGGATGAATTAAAAAAAAAAAAAGATGGTATATTCATACATGGAATCGATTGAGCAATAAGAAGGAATGTGGGATGACCTAACAACCATATGCTAGGTGGGGAAAAAGCACGTAGATACAAAGAGTATATACAGATGATTTCATTTTAATACAAATATTAGAAAAGACAAATCTAAGCTTAATCATATCATTAAGCATACCAGTAGTTTTAAGGATGCCCAGTTGGCGGTTTAGCTGCACATGAGGACAGGGGTATCCAGGTAATGGAATGTGCTGTACCTTGATTGTGGTCTTGCTTACATAGGTGTATACATTTGTCAAAATGAATGGAACTCCACACTTAAAACAGATACATTTTATTGCAAGTAAATTACATACCTATAAAGTTGATTCAAAAATTCCAAAAAGAAACAAAATATTGTACCCAGTACAAAGGACATAGACAGACTGAAGAAGTAGATATGGTCCCTCCAGGCAGGTGGGTGCAGCCCTGACTGTTCCCTCGCCCACCAATTCACAAGTGTGTATGCCTGTCTTGTGTTCAGTGCTCGACAAGTATTACTTGGATTAGTGAATGAAACTTAAAGGAAAAGAACTCCAGACAGGTGTCTGAGATAGCACTACCCTTTGGGGGGTTTGTTTTCCATATACATCCCTTGCCTTGATCCGGTCCTTATCCTGGGGACCAGCTCCCTTGTGCCTTTTTATTAACCATTCAGTGACACGTCTGCCCCACTGCCCTGCAGACGTTGCCTGCTCACTGTTTCTCTCTTCATGTTTAGAATAAGTTGGAGAGGGATGGCTCATTGTATTTTTCAAGTAAGTATGGCAGGGAGCAAAGTTGCATTTTTCCTTAAGAGTTAGGGAGAAAATGAGGGAGCTAAAGGAATGTGGGATTTCTGGGCCAAACAAGAAACACTGGAACAAGAAGGGAAATGTCAATCCTTCAAATACTACAACCATGTCAGGAATGAACATTATGAAGAAAGACTATCAACATGACAGTGAATCTAACTTGGATATGGTTTGTTTGGGTTTGATTTTCACTGAGCATGTATTACACACAGGAAACGCACCTTCATCATGATCATTGTCCCAAAAGAGCTTGCACATAGGAAGGGGAAGAAAGACCTAGGTAACTGTGTGCAGGGTAGAAGTGAGGTGCACATAGAGCAGAGATGAAGGGCTTACCACCCACGGATCAGGGAACACCCTGGAGGATGAGAATCAGAATGGGCTTCAAAAGTAAAGGACTATTGGGTGCCTGGGTGGCTCAGTTGGTTAAGCGACTGCCTTCGGCTCAGATCATGATCCTGGAGTCCCTGGATCGAGTCCCGCATCGGGCTCCCTACTCGGCAGGGAGTCTGCTTTGCCCTCTGACCCTATCCCCTCTCATGTGTTCTCTCTCATTCTCTCTCTCTCAAAATAAATAAATAAAATCTTTAAAAAAAAAAAAAGTAGAGGACTATTGAACAGATGGAGATTACAAGGAAGGGATTCTATATAGAGTTACAGAACTAAATTAGTTTATGTGAACAATGATTATAAAACAGAAACAAGAAAAAAATTAAATAGAGGGAAAAAAGAATGTTATCATCACTCTGTGGTCCTAGGTTCCTGGGCCACTGGGGAGGGTGTGATGAGGCAGCTCACGGGATGTCTTGATAGGAGCTGTGGAAAAGAAATGGGAGATATTGGGTGCACTGGAGGTGGTAAGTGAGGATGAGGGGAGTGTCAGGAGACAGAAGCTAAGAGAGGTAAAAATGGAATGTGAAATAAGATACGGGGAAGAAAGGAGGAAACACAAAGAACTCACCAGCGCTTCTTAAACCACAATGCAAGGACTATCAGAAGCATTAGGGGCACTATCACGGCCAACAGGATCAAGTACAAGGAAAGGTGGTGTCCTGTGGGTATTGGAAAGACACACCGATGTCATTTTCCACCCACTGTCAGTTCTACTCTGTCCACTGATTTCCTCCCAAGTCAACATATGCATTGGGTATGAGGGCCATCTTCAACCGGCCTTGTCACGGTATTCTCACACCTTCTCAGAGAGGGGCACCTCATCTCTCCCTAAGTCTCTTACATCTGAGCGCCCTTCGTGTTCCATCGTTCCATCCCTACATTCTTGAAGTCACTTGTATTCATTCCTTCCTGATACTGTGCTCACATAATTCTGGTGTCAGGATACCTTCCTCTGCCCTAACCTCTAGGCTCAACAACCACCTTCGCACACCTACAGACCCAATCTTACTCACCCCAGTACAGAATGATGTCCTGGTTTCCTAGACTGCTGTGTCTCACCCGGCAGGACAGGCCGGCCGCCTCCTCAGCTTCCATGTCCAGGGTCACTCGGAGATACCACGTTCCATCAGCATGGGGCAGGACGTCGCCTCGCTGGGTGCCCTGCTGCTCCTGCTCACCCCGCATCCACATCACCCACACAGGCTTTGGGTAGAAGCCGGAGACATGGCACACCAGCAGCAGACGGCCGGGACCGGGACTGGGGCCAGTGGACAGCCAGGCCTCTGGCCTCACTGCAGAGGGCATGAGAGGTATTCAGATAGGGACTCTAACACAAAGCTTAGGGGTCGTTGACCATACCCATATGCATGTATTATCTTCCCTTGGGAAACTTGTACCCAGCAAACCCTATCTGTCTTGAATTCTTCCTTGTCCCGACTTTGAAAAGGACGGTGGGAAGGGGCAAGACTTGTATAGAAAAATCTTAGAGGAATGGGCTGTACCAACCTTGCCTCTTGTAATCCACCTTCGAGGCATCAAAGAGACCCAAGGCAAATCGGGGACAGGTGTTTGTGAGGAGCTTGTGCACAATTTCCTTGATGCCTTCGTACTGGTTCATGAGATCACAGGCACTCTGGGCTCTGCTGTCCCCCTCTGGAGCTGGCACCCATGACATGTTTTGGAAACTCAGGAAATCTGATCCTTCATAAGCTGCCTCTAAGAAGACTTTTGCAATCTCACTGGAATGTAGCTCACAGCCAGCTGTCATCTGTACTTCAAAAGGATCTAGGAAGAAGGAAGAAGAAGAAGAAGTAGAGATTTGTGAAAAAAAAATGAGAGAAACAATATAAGAACTTTATTGAAAAGTGGATCAAGGGGATGCCTGGGTGGCTCAGTCGGTTGAGCGTCTGCCTTCGGCTCAGGTCATGATCTCAGGGTCCTGGGATTGAGCCCCATGTCGGGCTCCCTGCTCAGCGGAGAACCTGCTTCTCTCTCTCCCTCTGCCTGCCACTACTCCCCCTGCTCGTGCTCTCTATCTTTCTGCCAAATAAATAAATAAAATCTTTTTTAAAAAGTGGAGCAAGAAAATTTTATGGGGGCGTAGGGGTAAACTAAAGATGTATTTGATCAGCAATAAGGAAGAGAATTGATGGGATGGGGAAGGGGCCATAAGGGAGACAAGCCAAGAATCAAGAATTTGACTTGAAGAAGTCGGGGAAATGATAGGTGAGTCACAGGTTGGAGGGTGAGGGTGGGGGGTAGGAGCGCATGTGAAGGAGCTGCAATTACAGCTCTCCAGGGCACATGACACAGGCCATAATGGTTGTTGGGTTGTGGACATAGACCTTGGAAGGTACTGAATGGAGAAAGAGACCAAAGTTTAAGGGAATCAGGTGCAGAGGTGGACAATTGTGTGTCTCCATGTTTTACCATAGAAGGGAGAACACTGGGGAAAGATAAAAATGCACAAGAAAAAAAGGAGTCAGAAGAAGCAAGAGTCTAGGAAATCTTGAGGAGTCAACATATGGAATGACCCCCAAGAAGTTTATGCATGAAGATTTTTATGGAGGGACAGGAATAACGACAGTAGCCCAGAATGATATGAGGATGTTTCCCACAAACAGAAGAACCTTCTGAGGGATTCCCTTAATTGAGTAGATTGAACTTACATCCAAAGTGCAGTTGACTGGCATATTCTTCAGTCTCCCGAGTTAATCCAATGAAGTAGACACGGAACAGCAGCTCCAGATCTATCAGCTCCTTGTCGCTGAAGTTGCCCTTAGACCAGGTGTGCAGGAAAATGATCGTGCCAGACTCACTGTCCCAGCCATGAGTCTGCACATCACCCAGCCAACCTGAGCCTTGATGTTGTGCCCAGGAGTGGTTGGCAAAGGATGAGATCTGGATGATGTGGAACTGGATGTGTTCCTGAGTGGCTGAGGGTAGTGGAGGGGTAGAGGGTCAGGTAGTTTAAGGGGAAAAGGAGGCAAGCAGGAAGGAGAAGATGGAAAGTGAACCAGTTACGAGAGAGATGAGAGACAGAGAAAGAGGGAGGAAGAGAGAGAGGGAGAGACATAGAGAGAAGCAGGGAAGGAGGAAGAGAAAGACAGGAGGAGAGAGAGAAAGAAAGGGACGGAGGGAAGAAGGGGGAGAGAGAGGGAGAGACAGAGAGACAGAGAGAAAGAGGGAAGGAGGGAGAGAAAGCCAGGGAGAGAGAGAGGGAGAGAGAGGGACAGAGAGAGAAGAAATGAGAGAAGCGGGGAGGGATAGAGACAAGTTATGACTAGGTTAATGATGGCATTTCCCTCACCCGGGGCCCCATACTCTTTTCAAGGGGTAAGCCTTACCAGGAGACAGGAACCCTCAGGGTGTGAGCACTCTGGTGACCTGAGAATCATGATCTGTCTAGGGAAAGGTGAGCACATCCCGCCCGGATCAGGGAGTGGGCAGCCGGCAGAGCTCTTACCTTCTGCACTGTCAGCCCCCGGGAGAAGAGCAGCCAGCAGGACGAGTTCCAGAGATAGTATGTCACTTGCAGACATTTCTCAACTTCCCTCTGTTCTCAGCAAACCTGCCCCTCAGTGTTTCTGTTCTGACTTCCTTCTTCACCAACTGCTAATTGAAACAAAAGACTATCTGCTGCTCCTTCAACCTCCAGCTTCCTACGCGTGCTCTCATTTCCCCTCCAGCTCGGACCAAGACTGTCCTTCTGGCTTGCTTCCTGCTGCTCTCCTCGTCCTCAGCCTCCCCTTCTGGATTCCCTCCTCGAAGTTGTGTGTGACAATGGAAGGTCTCTGCACCTCTTGGAGACTCATGTCTCACCACTACAACAAAAAACAGAAACTGCATGGTGTCGCCAAGCCCTGCTTGTTCTAACAGATCAGAGTCCCAGTTTCTCCACCAGCTCTGCCTCAGTGTCCCCTCCTCCTCCCATCTGGACACTCCATCCTCCTCTTCCCTTTTTCAGTATCTTCAAAGCCTCCTCTTTCCTATCTCACCCTGTATCCTTCCACCTGTCTCCTTCCCTGATTCTCGCTGGCTCCTTTGTAAATGGGAGGATTTGCGTTCTCAGGTCTACTGCCATCTCCCAGGCACCTGCATAAACCACAGCTGGTTCGCCGCTATCCTTAGAGATGAAAGCGTGGCCACCCCAGAGTGCATAGGACCATCAACAATACAAAGCATATGCCCTCCTCTTGAGTTTAATTTGTATATTCCCTCACTAAAAAGTCCCTCAACACATGCTTGGTACCAAGTATCTTAGTAGGTATGTGAACATACAGAGATGGACAAGTGTATTTAAACCAAGAATTGAAATACATTGTGATAATTGCTGTTTCAGTGTCTAGCATCCCGGACACAAGGACAACAATCTCCAGAGAGGCATTCTGACCACCTGGCCCCTGGAGTGTCCATGATTTGAAGTCTTGAGTGGAGGCTGCGCTTTTCAACCTGAGGGTGTGGTGGACAACGTGTACAGCGATGGATTGCGGGGAGGAGGGGTCAGAGGTACAGCTTTTCACAGAGACACATGCAAGGGAAGGCTTGGAACTTTCTCACTGTTGGTAAGTGTTGTGATCTGATGAAAATACGTTGTCAGAGGGGCACCTGGGTGGCTCAGTCGTTAGGCGTCTGCCTTCGGCTCAGGTCATGATCCCAGGGTCCTGGGATCGAGCCCCGCATCGGGCTCCCTGCTCAGCAGGAGGCCTGCTTCTCCCTCTCCCTCTGCCTCTCTCCCTGCTCATGCTCTCTCTCTCTGTCTCTGTGTCTCAAATGAATAAATAAAAAATCTTTTAAAAAAAATAAATAAATAAAAATAAAATATATATACAGTGAGGGGCGCCTGGGTGGCTCAGTCGTTAGGTGTCTGCCTTCGGCTCAGGTCATGATCCCGGGGTCCTGGGATCGAGTCCCGCATCAGGCTCCCTGCTCAGCGGAAGGCCTGCTTCTCCCTCTCCCACTCCCCCTGCTTGTGTTCCCTCTCTCGCTGTGTCTCTCTCTGTCAAATAAATAAAATCTTTAAAAAAAAAAAATACATTGTCAGAAGAGAGTGGCATTTGTTAATGTTCAAAAATATGTGTGTCGCCCATTTGAGAAGTGCCTGGTGATTTGTCGATGGTTCTGACTGGTTAACGTGTGTGAATACATGAGTTCCGATCTTTTAAAGACCAAGCCATATGTTATTATAGTGCCCTTTAATAACTTCCAGAACTCACCGAGTGCAGGGGACACTTACTTAAATCCTGTTTGCAGCCATTTCTCTTTCATGTTCGTCAGCATTAATAATGAGGCTGGAGGTCACAGTCAGTGAGCTCTTTCTATTACGGCCACAGATACGGGGCGATTTCTCTGTGCCAAAAACTCCTCCAAGAACCACCAACCACGATTCCAGCCCCCCCGCCCCAGATCTTGCACACGCCCCAGATCCCATCACTGCCCGAATCTTCTTGTCGATGGCAACCTGCAGTGTTAGGAAGCTACAGCCCGCACAATGCTGTGTGGTTATCACAGTCCGCTGTAGGAAACACACAGCCCTCCCGCTCCCTCACAGGGGGGTTAAGGCCACGGAGATCCAGGCAGTGGAATGTGTGGCGCTGCAGACACAGGCCACCTGCGGGGCTCTGAGCACCTGGCTCTGCAGAGCTCGGGAGAGCCACCGCCTTGGCTGGCAGCCCCAAGACAGAGGCTGCGTGTGGTGTGCTGGTGTGAGAAGGCAAGCCTCTAAGATCCTCAAGTTGACTCATGACTGCAACCCAACCCAGCCCTACTGGCTAGTATTATGGAGCCTGTAGAACCAGGTAACTAGCATTCTTTCCCCCTCCTAAGCTCAGAACCAAATGAGGTAGAGATATAAAGCATAAGATTATCAATCAAATTGTCAGCTTCACTTCTGATAAAGCTTCTGGAGAATTTCCGTTACATGTGTAATCCAAGTAATTTTGCTGGCATTGAACTCCAGATGAAGTGGGCTTATTGTTATAAACTGATTATTTGTGTCCCCCCCACCACCAAAATTCATATACTGAAGCCCTAACACCAACCCCCCCCCCCGACCCTGAGTGGTTCTATTTGAAGATGGGAATTCTTTTTTTTTTTTTTTTGTAGTTTTTAATTTTATTATGTTATGTTAGTCACCATACAATACATCATTGGTTTTTTTTTTTTTTTGTAAAGATTTTATTTATTTATTTATTTGAGAGAGAGAGAAACAGCATGAAAGGGGATAGGGTCAGAGGGAGAAGCAGGCTCCCCGCCGAGCCGGGAGCCCGATGCGGGGCTCGATCCCAGGACCCTGGGATCATGACCTGAGCTGAAGGCGGTCGCTTAACCAACTGAGCCACCCAGGCGCCCAATAAATACATCATTGGTTTTTGATGTAGTGATCCACGATCCATTGTTTTCATATAACACCCAGTGCTCCATGCAGTATGTGCCCTCCTTAATACCCATCACCGGGCTAACCAATCCCCCCTCCCCCCTCCCCTCTAAAACCCTGTTTGTTTCTCAGGTCCATAGCCTCTCATAGTTCATCTCTCCCTCCAATCCCCCCCCCCCATTTTCCCCTTCCTTCTCCTAATGTCCTCCATGTTATTCCTTATGTTCCACAAATAAGTGAAACCATATGATAATTGACTTTCCCTGCTTGACTTATTTCACTTAGCATAATCTCCTCCAGTCCCATCCATGTTGATGTAAAAATTGGGTATTCATCTTTTCTGATGGCTGAGTAATATTCCATTGTGTATATGGACCACATCTTCTTTATCCATTCATCTGTTGAAGGGCATCTCGGCTCTTTCCACAGTTTGGCTATTGCGGACATTGCTGCTATGAACATTGGGGTGCATATGGCCCTTCTTTTCACTACATCTGTGTCTTTGGGGTAAATACCCAATAGCGCGATTGCTGGGTCATAGGGTAGCTCTATTTTTAAATTTTTGAGGAACCGCCACACTGTTTTCCAAAGTGGCTGTACCAACTTGCATTCCCACCAACAGTGTAAGAGGGTGAAGATGGGAACTCTTAAGAAGTAATCGTGGTTACACGAGTTACTAACAGGGGGGCCTTACAAGAAGAGATGACAGAGAATGAGCTCTCTCTCTCCCTCTCTCCCTGTCCCCAGGCACCAAGGAAAGGTCATGTGAGGAGCTACCAAGAAGGCAGCTGTCTACAAACCAGGAAGAGAGAATTCACTGGAAATCAAACTGTCTTGCACTTCTAGTCTCAAGATCTTGGAGAAGGTGACCATGGGGTTAGGCCTGCTCTGCCAGAGTCCACACAGGCTGGAGGAGACCAGGACAACCCTCTGGGCATGGGAAGAAGGCGTAGAGACCTATTTTTTACCCGGTTTCTCTCCTGGACTCATCCGTGATGCAATCCATGTGATTGCCACAGGAAAGAATACGGAGTGATGAAGGAAAGAAGTACGTGGGGAAATTCGGCCTCAGGGGAATGAGAAGAGCAGGTACACCAGGTTCACCTCCGTGGGTGATGCTTGCCCCTCAGAGAGACAGCTCTCCTCAGCTCCCCACTGTGAGCCCAGCTCACATGGTCTCACCCCTGCTCTGCCATCCCCTCCCTACCAAACCTCACCCTCTGCCCACTTCCCTGTTTGAGAAATCTTACTGCCCCCCACAACCACATGGCTTTTACTGCCCCTTTCATTTCCCCATGAACACACCTTCAGGTTATTCTCCCCTGCCTGGCTCCCAGCATCAGCCCTGTCTCTGTTCTGTGTCTTCCACAGGCCCCCCATCCACAGCACCGAGGGCAGGATAAGCCCCACAGGGGCACCTGCAGAATGCACTTGCTGCTGGTCTCTTTCCCCCACCATGACATGTCTGATGGAGAGAACCTGATGTTCTCTAATCTGGTTTCAACTTTAACTTTGTCTGACTTGGCCTGTGTTCACATTCATTTTTATTTACACAGCCTTTTCTTTCTCTCTTTTCTGGGTCTCATTTCTCACTTTTCTATCTTGTGTAAACATTGTTCTCTGTTTACCCTTCATCTGAGCTCCCAGCACCTCCTCTCGTTATCACCTCTCCTGCTTATCTCCTCATCCATTCATTCAAAGACCTGCCACCACCTCAGCTAAAATATGAAAACTATGGCACTGCCTTATCACTTGACCCTTAGATTTCTGTGTGTAATTATATATGAACGGTACTATTTTTTTTTTTTTTTTTGCCAAACAGAAGTCAGATATTTTTGTAAGAGCAAGGCTTTCATGATCAATTTTTACAGTCCCACACTCTCATGCAAAGACTGACTTTATATCATAAGATTTAGAGTCGAAATTTAAAAAATGCAAACTTTGCATCGATGACCCTCTTCTTATTGACCTGACCACTTCATTTTTCTTTAAAAAAAATCCCTTAATCCTTTGAAGCTTACAAGGAATTAAGTACATTGAACTGGGATTCTAATATCATTCTGCTTATGGTATTAATTTTACTAAAATATCATGCCAAACTAAGGCTAAGGATATCAATTTAAAGGATATTTTTGAAAGTACACATTTGACTTTTATTTTATTAAGAATTCAAATTAGCACTATCTTTAAAAAGATAGCGTATCTCTCTGCCTCGTGAACAGACTGGAAGGGGGCAGTTCAGGGCTGTGCCATTCTGTTGCATCAGGGATTTGGTGGCCAGCTTCCTCTTTTGTTCTGGGGGTTTTTGAATGTTTTGTTTTGCTTTGTTGTGTCCTGTTAT